TTATAAATTTTAGCGAAACGAATTGATACCATGATGTTTCTTATTACTTATGATGATATATGACATGATATAAAACATGGTTACATGTATTGTCCATCATCATAAATATGAGATCAATTTAATTTCTTATATTATTATATCCTAATCCTTTTAGTATACATAATTGATATTTATCACAATTGCATGTTCTATGTACACCTATATGTTAATTTGTAAAATGTAGTGGCTAGCCACTAAAAACTGTAAAGTTTATGTAAAATAAAATTTGTTCGTTCGTGTTCGTTCGTTAATAATCATTTTTAATTGACCTAAGGCATTGCTGTTTTTTACTGTTTCTTCTTGTGACTGACGTCATTTACCTTGTTTACACTTGCATATACCCCCATTCAGAATTATCTTCCCTTTGATCTTAGAAGTTTGTGATAAATGTTTATTTACCCCAGATTTTCTCCCCGTTCTATTTTACAACTGAAGTAATTTTCTTCCAATTCATATGCAGTTTATCAAAGTGCTAAACAGAAATTTCCTATCATACCCATTGTTTATGTATTACACTTTTTCTTCGTATTGGTAAGGTAACTAAATTTTATCCTTTTATAAAAATCTTTCTACTTGAATAAAATACATCCAACCCCGTTTATTTGAAGTGCCTGGGACTAAATATTTACTTCGAATAATCGATGGGTTCGAATAATCGAAATCGGAATATTGTGATAGACGAAAACTACTCCACTTGACCAATCATAGCAAAACTACCGTTTACAACACACCTACTTCATGTAATCAATTGAGAAAAATAAATATTAAAGAAAAGATGCGTAAAAATTATTTTATAGACATTGAAGACATAAATACTTGCATTTTATTCTACATTATGTATCGTTTCGTTTCGCGCAAAGCCTTGATAATGGCCGTGTTGTCAATACGGTATTTACATTTAAACTCTAGTATTTTCGATTAGGATAAAGGCTCTCATGTAGCGTTACAATTATTGAAAAAAAATGTTTTGGATGTTTTGACCAATTCACATATACGGTATGTATAATAATTATTGCTGTCATCTTCAAGCAAACAGTAACAAAATTAGACACGGTGCATAGCTTTTCATTTTCGGTAATTAAAGTTGATTAAAGAACCCACAATGAGTAATTATCATGATTGTCTAATTACACGCATGACTGGTTGATATTTTTCACAACTCGACCGGTTAGCGAATGAATCTGCGCCAATTAGTCAAGCTTCGAATAATAATTATGCTGGCTTCGAATAATAGGTGTGAAATTCTTTCATAATTATATAATCGGGACCGAAAATTTACTTCGAAAAATAGGTGGTATTCGGATAATGCATTTCGAATAATACGCTCGTATTCATATTGTTTTATATAGAGATAAAAACGGGACCGCCAATCTACTTCAGATAATGCAGGGTATTCGAATAAAGGGTTGTCGAATAACCGGGATCGGACTGTATTTCAGAATCCATGAACTTTATATGTCACAGTACTATGAAAAATAAAAATAAGTGTGAAGTTTTAAGGCAGTTTGAAAAAATGAAACGTAAAATGGGAGAACAATCTGTTACCTAGAATGCGTTACAAGGTTGAAACAAGAGGGCCATGATGGCCCTGAAATCGCTCACCTGTATATAGGCTCCTAGGCCAAGGCCAATTTTAACCCCAGGGCCCTTATTTGAACAAACTTGGTAAACACCAATAAGGAGATGTTTCATAATAAATATCTAAGCTGTAGCTCTTTCGGTTTTCTAAAAGAAAAATATTTTAAGTTTTTTCTTTTGATTGCCATGGCAACCAAAGTTCTGCTTTGAATTAAATTCTTTGAACAATTTTTAAAGTTGACTACTAAAAAACATTCATGTGAAGTATGGATGAAATTGTGTCAGTGGTTTATGAGGAGATGTCGTCAAAGTAAAAGTTTACGGACGGACGACGGACGGACGCCGGACGAAAAGCGATCACAAAAGCTCACCATGTCTTTCTGTGACAGGTGAGCTAAAAAGACAGACATTGCCTTTATTAGTTTTATGATAAACCAAAGGCGTACATCGAACGAAATTGTTTGATATTTTTAAAAATTTAATTTTGATTTAAACAAACATCACAAAAATATTGAACTAAAATGCAAGGGAGCTGTAATGTGTATATCCATCTGGATAGTTTGCAGTTCGAATGTACAATTTCGTGTTGCTACAAAACCAATTGCTTTTTGATGTAATTGTTAATTTCAATATTAACAATTGTTAAATAGTACAATAAATGTAAAGCCTCTTGTTGGTATTTATGTTTCTTTGTTGTTTTTTTTTTTATAAAACTTTCTTTAAAAATCATTTTTAAAACGTAATATATGGTTTTCTATCTCAATGTCTGGCTAACTGGATGAATGTCCTGGTGCAAATGTTCATACAACATTTTTCACATTCATACGGTATTAAGATTATACTCTGGCAAGATTTTCCATAAGAAGGCACCCATAAAGATTGCCTATGTGCACTGCAATGTTTCTGTCTGAATAGACATGTCACACACACACTGCACAATTTTCAGTGCAAAGCTGTGTCTTTTCACGCACACACCACAACTTTTTTAGTGAAAAGAAAACACATGTCGATTTAGATAATCTTTCAAAGAGGAAATTTCATTGTATCAAATCAGGTAAGACAATTTCCCTTATCAGAACGGACAATGAAGTTTCATTGTGTTTATTTACGAATGCTATAACCATATGCATATAAGTATCCGATAGTTAATTGTTCTGTTAAAAATTCTGCTTTTCATGATACCGGTAACTTATTGTTAATGCGCAAAGAACAGATATCAGTCGATCGTGTAAGATAACCCACTGTAAGGAACCAAACATTTTGCGTACAGTTAGTTTAACGAACCACTTACCATGCGTGCAGTAAGAAATACGGAAATATTGTGGATATATGATAATAATGTGTTAATTTGTTTCCTGCAGTTTCTATTTCTATTAATAGTTAACACGTTAGTGCTAAAACTAATAATATATATTCATCTGTTATTGTATTCTTTTAATATTTATGCCAGGTTACCAGTGGCATTTGAAGTAAAAGATAACCTGAATAGCTTTCTCTTTACTATAAAAAGTATTCTTTTATTTTGACCCTCATACACAATTATATCAACTGCTCCGCATGCATCATATTATTCCAACAAAAAGTACAATATACAACAAATATTTGAAACAATACAACTGTTACCAACTTTATTTGTAAGGTTCCTCCACCATTATTCAGTATCTGACCAATTCGTCTTGCTTAAAGTTTCGTACCTCTATACGCTGTTTCCCCTGGTACAAAATATTTATTTGCTCACAAATGGGGGTAATTAGTAACAACATTATCGGAGAGGTAAGGTCACTTATCAAAATATGGATGGTCACGTTCCTTTATTTTATGAAGATATAAGGAAACCCCATTTTTAAGTGACAAACATAGGTTTTCTAAACTCATCCACTTTCTGTTTTTTTTTAAATCTTGCAAAGACCTATTTCAATTTACCAATTTGTATTTATTTTATTTTACCAAAATGTATGTTCTCCTTTCGTTCTTTTTCTTCTCATTTCAAAACTATGTTATACTACTTCTAAAGTTAGATAAAGGTGAAATAAGTAAAACCGTTCTTTTACTGATGAAACCATACTTGTTGTTATTGTTCTACATAAATGAATCAAAAGTTAAACATAAATCAAATTTTGTTTCCAACACGATGGTAAACTTTTGATGTATTTTGTATTTGTGTCGAAGTTTTATAATGTAAAGTTTCAAGCACTTTTTGAAACATTGTCAGTTATATATCTTATAGTAAAGAAAAAGGAAGATTAAAATATTAGGATCAATTTTTTCAAGTCAAATTTATAATAGTTTTCAGCAAAAAATTATTTTGTTTCTCCTTCAAAAAATGTAAGTGTGACCCTTAGTACCTTATGAAATTCAGAAATACCTGATGTTTTAGCGAGAGTTTTTGTTGCAACAAACAGTCATCTGTTATGTTTTATAACCTTCACAAACCCAAAAATAGATTCATGAAAATAGTTCCAAATGTTCTACAACGCATTGTCAATGTAACTTACACTCTTTAAACAATTGGCACTTGCAGTTTATATTTGATCTGCATAAAATTGTTCTTTTTTAACAAGTCGCATATTCATAAAGATTTCCTTTTGCTGATGTTTATACCTTTTGAATGTAGCGTTTTGATTCATAACTTCCTCTTATTAACTAAGTGGACAGTGAATGGGTTTTGCTTTACTTTGTTTATTACTTTTACTATATATAAGGCGCCAAAGTTACTAGATTAACACCAACATTCGAACAAATCTCGATATAAAAATTTCAACAGTTAGATAAGTGAAAACAGAGAAGTTTTACAAATAAAGCGTTTCATATTTCCAAATCTGATGGATGGTCACTTTCCTTAATTGTACGAAGATATAAGGAAACAACATTTTCAAGTGATAAACATGACCGGTTTGCTTAACCAATCCACTTCCTGTTTTATCAAATCTTACAAGACGATTTTCAATTCACAAATTTGTTTTTCATGTTTGCTTTTCTTTTGTTATGTTTTTTTCCTATTTAAAAACTATGTTAAGCCACTTCTTAATACAGCTAAAGGTGGAATAAGTATAATGTTCCTTTACTAATGAAACATACTTGTTGTTTTACATAAATGAATCAAAAGTTAAACAAAAATCAAATTTTGTTTCCCAACAAGATGGAAAACTTTTGATTTGTTCTGTATTTGTGTCGAATATATGATAAAGTTTTAAAATATTAAGTTTCAAGTGATTTTTGAAAGATTGTTAGTTATATATCTTATAGATTAAAGTATTGGGACTCATTTTTTCAAGTCATATTTATAATTTGAACAAAGCATAGATGGTTTATTTATTTGTTATACTCTTAAAATTTTAACAGAGAAGTAAACATTATTCTATAATATATTTTACATTTTCTACCTGCTTATCATTATCGTCGTCGTCACCAACAACAACATAATTATCATCCTCATCATCATCCTCATCATCATAAGAACTTGTCGGATGTCTTTTATGTGTTGCCTTGCGTGGTTGCGCTTGCTCCGTCAGTTTTTCTAATTTGTTAGTAAATCTTCGATTATAGCGAGATATCTTTTCAACCCTATCATTACGTGTTCTTGATTGGAAAGATTGCTATAAAAATAAAATCACATAGCCAATTAAAATGTGTTTTAAAGGCAAGGTATTCAGCAAATGTCTTTGTTTGTCCTTCAAAATGTAAGTGTGACCCTAAGTACCTTATGAATATCAGAAATACCTGATGTTTTAGCGAGAGTTTTTGTTGCAACAAATAGTGATCTGGTGTAATTCATAACCTACATAAACCAAAAAAGAGATTCATGAAAATAGTTTCAAATGTTCAACAACGCATTGTGAATGTAACTAACACTCTTTAAACAATTGCAGATGCAGTTTATATTGAATTTGCATAAAATTGTTCTTTTAAAACTAGTCGCTCATTCATCAGGATTTCATTTCGCTGATATTTATAATTTTTGAATGCAGCGTTTTGATTCATCACTTCCTCTTATTAACTAAGTGGGCAGTGAATGGGTTTTGCATTACTTTGTTTATTACTTTTACTATATATAAGGCGCCAAAGTTACTAGATTAACACCCACTTTCGAACAAATCTCGATATAAAAATTTCAACAGTTAGATAAATGAAAACAGAGAAGTTTTACAAATAAAGTGTTTCAAATTTCCAAATCTGGTGGATGGTCACTTTCCTTTATTGTATGAAGATATAAGGAAACAGAATATTTAAGTGACAAACATGACCGGTTTGCTTAACCAATCCACTTCCTCTTTTTATCAAATCTTACAAGACGATTTTCAATTCACAAATTTGTTTTTCATGTATGCCCTTTTTTGTTATGTTTTTTTCCTAATTCAAAACTATGTTAAGCCAATTCTTAATAGAGCTAAAGGTGGAATAAGTATAACTGTTCATTTACTTATGAAACATACTCGTTGTTATTGTTCTACATAAATGAATCAAAAATCAAATTTTGTTTCCCAACAAGATGGAAAACTTTTGATACGTTTTGTATTTGTGTCGAATATATGACAAAGTTTTAAATGTTAAGTTTCAAGTGACTTTTGAAAGATTGTTAGTTATATATCTTATAGATTAAAGTATTGGGATCCATTTTTTCAAGTCATATTTATAATTTGAACAAAGCATAGATGGTTTATTTATTTGTTATACTCTTAAAAATTCTAACAGAGAAGTAAACATTATTCTATATTATATTTTACAATTTCTACCTGCTTATCATTATCGTCGTCGTCATCAACAACAAAATTATCATCCTCATCATCATCATCATTAGAGCTTGTCGGATGTCTTTTGTGTGTTACCTTGCGTGGCTGCGCTTGCTCCGCGAGTTTTTCAAATTTGTTGGTAAATCTTCGATTAAAGCGAGATATTTTTTCAACCCTATCATTACGTGTTCTAGATTGGTAAGATTGCTTTAAAAAATAAAATCACATTGCAAATTAAAATGTGTTTTAAAGGCAAAGTATTCAACAAATGTCTTTGTTTCTCCTTCAAAATGTAAGTGTGACACTAAGTACCTTATGAAATTCAGAAATACCTGATATTTTAGGGAGAGGTTTTTTTTGGCAACAAATAGTGATCTGGTGTAAAAGTATAACCTTCATAAACCCCAAAAGAGATTCATGAAAATAGTTCCAAATGTTCTACAACGCATTGTGAATGTAACTAACACTCTTTAAACAATTGCACTTGCAGTTTACTAGTATATTTGATTTGCATTAAATTGTTCTTTTAAAACTAGTCGCTCATTCATCAGGATTTTATTTCGCTGATATTTATACTTTATGAATGTATCGTTTTGTTTCATAACTTCCTCTCATTACTTAGATGGCAGTGAATAGGTTGTGATTTACTATTTAAATTACCGTAACTACCTATAAGGCGCCAAAGTAACTAGATTAACACCCACATTCGAATAAATGTCGATGTAATAATTCACAGTCACATAAGTGAAAACAAAAGTTTTGCAACGAAAACTTTTCACATTTCCAAATCTGGTGGATGGTCACTTTCCTTTACTTTATGAAGGTATAAGAAACCACATTTTTAAGTGACAACTATGACCGGTTTTTTAACCCCATCCACTTCCTGCTTTATCAAGTCTTACAGAAGTTTTCCAAATCAACAATTTGTTTTTCATGTATGCTTTTTTTCTGTATTTTTCCCCAATTTCAAAACTATGTTAAGCCACTTTTTAAGTTAGGTAAAGGTGAAATAAGAATAACTGTTCCTTTACTGATAAAAATTACTTGTTGTTATTGTTCTACATAAATGAATCAAAAGTTAAACATAAATCAAATTTTGTTTTCAAACACGATGGAAAACTTTTGATGTATTTTGTATTTGTGTCGAAGTTTTATAATGTAAAGTTTCAAGCACTTCTTGAAACATTGTCAGTTATATATCTTATAGTAAAGAAAAAGGAAGATTAAAATATTAGGATCAATTTTTTTCAAGTCAAATTTATAATAGTTTTCAGCAAAAAATTATTGTGTTTCCCCCTTCAAAAAATGTAAGTGTGACCCTAAGTACCTTATGAAATTCAGAAATACCTCATGTTTTAGCGATAGTTCTTGTTGCAACAAACAGTCATCTGTTATGTTTTATAACCTTCACAAACCCAAAAATAGATTCATGAAAATAGTTCCAAATGTTCTACAACGCATTGTCAATGTAACTTACACTCTTTAAACAATTGGCACTTGCAGTTTATACTTGATCTGCATAAAATTGTTCTTTTAAAACTAGTCGCTTATTCATCAGGATTTCATTTCGCTGATATTTATACTTTTTGAATGTAGCGTTTTGATTCATAACATCCTCTTATTAACTAAGTGGACAGTGAATGGGTTTTGTTTTACTTTGTTTATTACTTTTACTATATATAAGGCGCCAAAGTTACTAGATTAACACCCACTTTCGAACAAATCTCGATATAAAAATTTCAACAGTTAGATAAATGAAAACAGAGATGTTTTACAAATAAAGCGTTTCAAATTTCCAAATCTGGTGGATGGTCACTTTCCTTAATTGTATGAAGATATAAGGAAACAACATTTTCAAGTGATAAACATGACCGGTTTGCTTAACCAATCCACTTCCTGTTTTATCAAATCTAACAAGACGATTTTCAATTCACAAATTTGTTTTCATGTATGCCCTTTTTTGTTATGTTTTTTTTTTATATTTCAAAACTATGTTAAGCCAATTCTTAATAGAGCTAAAGGTGGAATAAGTATAACTGTTCATTTACTAATGAAACATACTCGTTGTTATTGTTCTACATAAATGAATCAAAAATCAAATTTTGTTTCCCAACATGATATGTTTTGTATTTGTGTCGAATATATGACAAAGTTTTAAAATGTTAAGTTTCAAGTGATTTTTGAAAGATTGTTAGTTATATATCTTATAGATTAAAATATTGGGATCCATTTTTTCAAGTCATATTTATAATTTGAACAAAGCATAGATGGTTTATTTATTTGTTATACTCTTAAAATTTTAACAGAGAAGTAAACATTATTCTATATGATATTTTACAATTTCTACCTGCTTATCATTATCGTCGTCGTCATCAACAACATAATTATCATCCTCCTCATCCTCATCATCATTAGAACTTGTCGGATGTCTTTTATGTGTTACCTTGCGTGGTTGCGCTTGCTCCGTCAGTTTTTCTAATTTGTTAGTAAATCTTCGATTATAGCGAGATATCTTTTCAACCCTATCATTACGTGTTCTTGATTGGAAAGATTGCTATAAAAATAAAATCACATAGCCAATTAAATTGTGTTTTAAAGGCAAGGTTTTCAACAAATGTCTTTGTTTCTCCTTCAAAATGTAAGTGTGTCCCTAAGTACCTTATGGATATCAGAAATACCTGATGTTTTAGCGAGAGTTTTTGTTGCAACCAATAGTGATCCGGTGTAATTTATAAGTTTTATAATGTAAAGTTTCAAGCACTAAAAATATTAGGATCCATTTTTTCAAGTCAAATTAATAATTTGAACAAAGCATAGATGGTTTACTTATTTGTAACACTTTCAAAAATTTAACAGAGAAGTAAACATTATTCTAAATTATATTTTACAATTTCTACCTGATTATCATCATTATCATCATCATCATCATCATCATCATCATCCTCTACCTCCTCATCATCATTTGAGCTTGTCGGATGTCTTTTATGTGTTACCTTGCGTGGCTGCGCTTGCTCTGCGAGTTTTTCAAATTTGTTAGTAAATCTTCGATTAAAGCGAGATATCTTTTCAACCTTATCATTACGTGTTCTTGATTGGTAAGATTCCTATAAAAAGTAAAACCACACTGACACTTAAAATGTGTTTTATAGGCACAGTATTAAACACATGTTTTTGTTTCTCCTTCAAAATGTAAGTGTGACCCTAAGTACCTTATGAAATTCAGAAATACCTGATGTTTCAGCGAGACCTTTTGTTGCAACAAAAAGTGATCTGTTATGTTTTATAACCTTCACGAACCCAAAAATAGATCCATGAAAAGAGTTCCAAATGTTTTACAATAATAATTCAACAGTTACATAAGCGAAAACAGAAAAGTTTTACAACTAAAATGTTTCATATTTGCAAATCTGGTGGATGGTCACTTTCCTTTATTTTTTGTTGATATAAGGAAACAACATTTGTAAGTGACAACCATAAACGGTTTTCTAAAACCAATCCACTTCCTGATTTATAAAATCTTACAAAACGATTTGAAATACACCAATTTGTTTTTCATGTATTCTTTTCTTTTGTTCTGTTTTTACTAATTTCAAAACTAAGTATAACTGTAACATACTTGTTGTTATTGTTCTACATAAATGAATACAAATTTAAACATAAATCAAATTTTGTTTTCAGGCAAAATGGAAAACTTTTGATGTATTTTGTATTTGTGTCGAATATATGATAAAGTTTAGTAATGTTAAGTTTTAAGTGGCTTTTGAAACATTGTCAATTATATAGCTTATAGATTAAAATATTGGGTTCCATTTTTTTTAAAGTCATATCTATAATTTGAACAAAACATATATGGTTTATTTATTTGTTACACTTTCAAAATTTTAACAAAGAAGTAAACATTATTCTTAATTATATTTTACAATTTCTACCTGATTATCATCATTATCATCATCATCATCATCCTCATCCTCCTCCTCAACCTCCTCATCATCATAATTTGAGCTATTCAGATTTCTTTCATGGGTTACTTTGCGTTGCTGCGGTCGCTCAGGGAGTTTTCCAAATTTGTTAGCAAATCTTCTGTTTAAGCGAGATAGCTTTCCAACTCTATCAGCAACTGTTCTTGATTGTGGAGATTGCTATAAAAAGTAAAATTAGTAAGTTAAACGCATTGAAACTTATAATTTGTTATAAAATCCAATTATTCAACAAATGTTTTCGTTTCCCCTTCAAAATATAAGTGTGGCCCTAAGTTCCTTACGAAATTCAGAAAAACCTGCTGTTTAAGTGAGAGATCTTGTTGCAACAAACAGTGATCTGTTATGTTTTATAACCTTTACAAACTCAAAAAGAGATCCATGAAAAGAGTTCCAAATGTTCTACAACGATTATTGAATGTTACTAACACTCGGTAAACAATTGAAACTTGCAGTTAATATTTCATTTACATAAAATCGTTCTTTCAAAACCTGTTGTACATTCATCAGAATTTCATTTCGCTGATGTTAATACCTTTTAAATGTAGCGTTTGTTTCATAACTTCCTCTAATCTACTTAGAGAGCAGTGAATAAGTTGTGTTTTACTTTTTTATTACCTTAACTATCTAGACGAATTACAAAAATTAAACAATCTTTTTCTATTACATGGCAGATATATGGTGTCGTAACTTTTAGGCAAATACAAAGAAAGCAGACCAGCGTTTAAAATCTTTAAATGTTAATTCATATTCAACTTTTAGAAACTTTATGTAACACTTCAGCTTAATGTATATCTTCTTCATCATCTGATTCGGCGGATAACCAATTGCGTCTACGCGCTGTTTCCTGTGACTGCCCCGTGTCAACAGAAAATCGACTTTGTCGTTCTTTTAAATGTTTGCCAGCCTGTTATTATTTCTGACGGATTTGACAACTTCCAGGAAAAAGTCATGAAAAAGCTTTCAATCAAGCCTTCGAATTCTTTTATAAATATGAAAGTTTACCTAATAGATGTTTCAAGCTTTTCTACTTTGGAGTGAAAATCTTTTCAAGACCGCCAAGAGAGTAACGATCTCGCCGTATTTTTCCGAACCTGCTTATAAAATTCTTAGTGTGGATGAGTTTCGTTTTGGTACTATGCAATTTCAATGGACAGACCTATTGCTTTGATCAGTTAATTCACCTGAATTATAAATAAAACATTGTCAAAATATTCTAAATCTGTATTTTCATCATTAAACTTATACAAATGACGGCACTCCTTAATTGATTGATAAAGTTTCAATACCTATATCAAATATTTCAATTGTCCAAAAGAAAGATTTGCCAATGTAAATAGTTATAAATGCATGCGAAAACAAGACTAAGAAACAGTACCAGAATATAAGTACCCTGAAATATACCTCTGTAGAAGCGGAAACTATCTAATATATAAGAAACATGCACCCACACGAAGTAGAAATGATATGTATGGCGTTTGATAGGAGGCTGAAAGCAACTAAGTTTTCTAAAAAAAATTTACACAGTTATGCAATGAGAAGCTATTATTAGCAATTATCATTAGAGTATAAAACATCAACTATTGGAAAGCTTGATATATTAAATGTCCCCAACTTAAATTTCAGATTTTTTAAAACAAATTTATGGAAGAAAAGTCCGATTTAAAAAGCAATAGGTGCAAAAAAAAAGTCAAAAATGATTCCCTTACTGGGTTGATTTTTTTTTAAAAAGTTAACAACATAAAAAATTTAAAGTTAATTAAAATTTTCACATTAATAAATTTTTAAAAACAATCCACACATATTTACGTCTAGAAGTTATCAAAATACAATCTTATGATATAATGTAGTGGTGGTCTCATCATATATTAAACATCCAGAAAAATAGCTGTAAAAATAGCAAGGAATAACAAAGTCTGTCTAGTATGGTTGAAATTTGATACGTATTTTCACAAATAAAATTATATTTATTAGTGGTTCATATTGCACCAAAAATGAATAATTTATACGCACATTGAAAATGATATAAATATATTCCTAACACAGGACAAGTTTCATTACTGGAGAAATTAATTCGTGCATTGGCCAGAAAAGTGATTTTATTTAAGTAAATAGACATAGAGGGGAAAACGACATTTATACGGGCCAACTGTATTTACCACGGACTGAAAAAGATAAATGATATGAGAAGAAAGAGTCCATAGCCGTTTTGTTTTGAAAACATTTAAAAAGAAATCTCCAAATTCCCAATACAGCCATAGACTCTTAGGGAAGCTCTTTCATCTTCACTAAACCAGATTAACCAATCACAAAGGAGCAAAGGAGAAAATAATGTCCGCTGCCAAGAAACTCGGTTGTAATAAGCGTGTTCATTAGAAAAAAAATCTTATGTTGATATTTTAAAGTAAGTATATTTGTAACCGTATGTTAAATTAACCATTGTGTAACACTATTTCAAATACAAACTTTTAAGGTCTTAACTTATCACTGGTCTACAGAAGTTTTTTGTTTGTTTGTTTGTTTCATTTTACGCCTTTCCCCAACAGTATTTCAGTCATATAGGCGGGTAGTTTCCTATCCATCGTTCCTGGAGAGTTACACCAGTACTAGACTACCGTTCCTCCGCTCTAACTACCAAAGTTTTTAATTCTCCCCGGATCGAACCCACGCCAGAGAGGTAACTGATTAGAAGTCATCGACTCTAACCCCTCGAGAGGCGGTTGA